GAGAGAGAGAGAGAGAGAGAGAGAGAGAGAGAGAGAGAGAGAGAGAGAGAGAGAGAGAGAGAGAGAGAGAGAGAGAGAGAGAGAGAGAGACCAAATAAATATTATTTTATTTTATTTTAAGAAAATTGAGATGGATTGTACTTCGTGGTTATTGTGGCTTCATCATTTTGCACGTTGTTCCTGACTTGAATGATGTTCTTCTTTCTTCGTTCTTCGCATTATTCTTTTCTTTCTCCTCTGTCTCTCTCTATCTGTGTCTCTCTATCTCTCTCCCTCCTCTCTCCCTCTCCCTCTCTATCTCTCTCTTTCTCTTTCCCTTTCTCTGTCTCTCTATGATTGTTCCGTTTCTTAAATTCGTTAATAGTGCTGAAATTTAGCAGTTGGTTTGGGCCTAACTTTTTTTTTATTATTATTTTTTTTATTAGCGGGCATTGCCCGCACCGCAGGCACTTAGCTAGTGTCAACTAATAGGGGTATTTTGCAAATTATCCAAAAAAAAAACTGGGGCAAACTGTCGAATGGAGGCTGTCGAATCTGTTCTGACGGCCGTCAATTTTTTTTGCCTTTCGACAGTGGTGTGTCAAGGCCCTCAAGGTCGTTTCGTTTCGTTTTTGCACCGTTCGGCGAGGCGCAAAGGCAAGAAACATTGGGCCTCACCGGACGGTGCAAAAAACGAAACGAAATGACCTCAAACCTCGCGAGGCCGAAAATCACCGTTTTGACTCGTTTTTCGCACCACCGCCGCACAGCACACGCGAATCCCTCACGGAAAGGACTTCGCTCGCTTCCAACTTCGCTCGCAACGCCTGACACATGCAAAATTACAAATTTCTGGATGTACTCTCTGTGGAGAGACGTGTTGCACTCATGCGGATTCGCAGCTCCACCAACAGTGAGGCCGAGGACCTGCGAGTTAGCGCGAGTTGCGGGCAGGGATGGCCACTGCACGTGCGCGCACTCGCGAACTTGGAGTCTGACATCTTTTGCGAGGAAAAGCTGACAGGATCCGCAAGGGTGCTGTGCGGCGAAACGTACGCGGAACGAAGTCATTTTTTTTTTTGGTGTAGCATGCCGTCCGGCGAGGCCCATTTTCCGCCTATCTGCGCACGCCGCACACACACGCCGCACGCAGTAGGCAGCACGCAGCCCTACTGGCCATACGGTTAGTCCAGAATAGGCCGTACTGGTACTTTCTACATTTTTCAGGTTATCTGGATGCAATTCTGTCAATCTGGAAGCAATTCTGGTCAGATACAACCCAGGAAATCCGAACATCCATATGCCAGGAAGTCCGAACATCCATATGCCGTACAAGGGTCGAAAATGCCCACGTTTGTGTTTGCGACCCGTACCTCGTTCCCGTGTTCTCCTGCGTCCCACCGTCCGGCCTTCGGCCGCCAATCCCGCGATATCCTTCGCGATGTGATAGGCTCGGTAGTTGTCGGGTGAGGGTTGGAAGGCGGGGACGGGGAAGGGGGGGAAGGGCGGAAGGAGGGGAAAGCGGCACCGCCGGTAGGTGGGTATGGCGGAAAGTCGATCGCAGGACGTCGAAGGGATGGGAGGGGGGGACGGGCGGAGAGGCACATCTACCGGTAGCTGCGAGGCACGGACAAGCGGGGGGGTCGGTAATGGCAGCTAGCCGAAACGTCGCGTTTTGCTATCCACTCTCAAGTCGACCGTCGGATCGTGAGAAGCTGACGGGTGTGGCAGCCAAGTAGCTGCCGACGTTGGGCTGGCAAGCCTTTCCATTTACCGCTGATTTTTCCTTTTCGCCGTCTTCTTTCTTAATTAGTTTTAGGAACCGAATTTCTCTCCCCCTGTCTGTCTTTCGAGGTTGTGGCTACGGACAGGGAAAGGATAAACAGAAGAGAAGAGAGAGGGGAGGAAGGAGAGATAGAGGAAAGGGAAGAGGGAAGAGACACGAGGAAAGGGAAGAGGGAAGAGACACGAGAGACGACGACGACTACGAGGAGGAGGGCAGGGAAGGTGGAGAGAGAGAGAGAGAGAGAGAGAGAGAGAGAGAGAGAGAGAGAGAGAGAGAGAGAGAGAGAGAGAGAGAGAGAGAGAGAGAGATGCCGCACATTCGATTCGCCGATGATGATGGAAGTAACCCTGAAGATGATCAAGGGATGGATTTGGAAATGCCCAGAGAGGAGGATCCGGCATCAACGGCGATGGCCGCAGCGGTCCATCCATCGTTCTTACCACCTTCTTCTTCTCCCTCCTTCCCTCTTCCATGTCCTTCTCCTTCTCCTTCTCCATCTCTTTCTGCTTCCACTTTCCGACCGAGCGATGGCGCCCAAGCCCTTCATGCGGTGAAGACGATCCAAACGGCGTATGGACCGTCCGATGATCCAACTTACGTCTTCGATCTGGCCTGCAAGTATGCCGCCATCTGTTATTGCCTCTGCCGAGCTGTCTCTCCCGTCCATAATCCATACCGTGCTCGTCCATATATCTTATAATTCTTATTTTTACCGTTATTACTTATTATTATCACTTTGGGCATGCAACTTCGACGTTCCTGGCCGTAATTTCGGCGTTTTCTGAACCGAAATCGTCAGGGCGTACGGGTTTCCCGCCAGTAGAAGCTGTCGATTTCGGTTAAGAAAACGCCGAAAATGTGGCGAGGAACGTCGAAGTTAAATGCCTAAAGGGTATAACAGTATAATGTCATTATTATTATTATTATTATTATTATTATCCTTGCGTATTATTACGCGGTAACATGTTATATTTCCTCTCTCTGTTTTACTTTTTGGCATGGCTTTTTTTTTTCTTTCGGATTTTGGTAACTAGATCTGATCAGTGTGCTAATCCTTTATCTTATCCAGTATTATCCAGATTGGATAAGGAGGAAAAAACACGACAAGGTCATATCGTCGGAGGGGACGGAAAAAAAAAAAAAAAGAGAGGAAATGTACTATATGGTCCATCACGGTAAGAGAGAGAAAAAAATAAAAAGATGAAAAAGAGAGGGAGTATCGTCGGGACACCGGAGTCTACGGAGAAGTTTTTGCAGCTTCATTGTTTGGCTAATTAGCTCCTGCAAAAAAAATAAAATCACCACGTACATCTGTAAAAATTATATTGACCCGATCACGGCTAAGAGCGCAAAAAAAAAAACACCTAAAGTTTCGGACTGTCAATCCATCGGACCAGCATGCCGTCTTCGCCCGAATAGAACGCCTGGTCTGGTAGCTGTATTTGGGATAACTTTTAGTCTTGATACCAGCGCGATAATCAGGGCGTTCTATTCGGGTAAAGGCGATACTGTAAGGAGGGTGGCCTTTCTTGTAACCATGGCAGTCGTAGAAGTTTCTGGTTCAGGGCATAAGTGCTATGGAATGTTTTTGCGTCCGTTAGATGGAGGAGCGTTTGCATGTCTTATATGCCACATATGCTATCTTCTCTCTCTCTCTCTCTCTCTCTCTCTCTCTCTCTCTCTCTCTTCCGTCCTCTTCTTCTTCTTCTTCTTTGTGATTCTTCTTTCTGTATGCTATCTACTCTCGCTCTCTCTCTTTTTCTCTCCTTCTCTCTTTCCCTCTTTTTCTTCTTCTTCTTTGTTACCCTTCTTTCTCTTGCCACGTGGAACGGTTCTATATGTCAAAGCGTCAAATCGATTTCCCGCCTTTTGACCCCCAAATTCGCCCTGCGGCCCCTCCTCATGATCCCCTCCTCCTCCTCCTCCATCTCTTTCAATTCTTTCCTGTGCTCCTTTCCTGTCCCGATGTCTGGCTAATCGGCTGCGGATCTGAGGATCTTTTCCCACCGAGCCACTCCAAGCAGCTACCGATTCGGACTGAGGATCTTTCCCCCCCTCCCCACACTTGCCAATTCGGACTGAGGATCTTTTCCCCCCTCCCCACAACAGGGCAGGTCCCGCCTATAACGGTCCGTCCCACCGTGTGAGACAAATGGCATTGTCGTTATCGTTTGGGCCCTGTCTGCTGTATCGCTACCGTTTTTATCCGAATAGAGTGCGCAGTCATCATGGCGGTGTTTGGGGCAAACTTCAGTCTAGATACGGCGACAATGACCGTCCGTTAAAGTGGGGCAAACTTCAGTGTAGATCCAGCCCTGTTCAAGGACCGGCAGCGCTGTCGGCATCGTTATTGTCATTATCGGTCATCATTGGCGTTGCCTGATTTTGCGATTGCTTTCCCATCAGTGTCTAATCAACACTGCTTCGTCAGATACGTTCGCGTACTCTTTCCCGACCTGCTGCAAACTCGCCGCCGTGCTGGCCATCATCATCATCATCATCATCATCAGTTTTACGATGAAGATGGTGAAGTCGCGATCCAATGCTATCCCGATGATTGTCCCGTCGCTGCGGCACTGACCTTGTTAACACGAGTTAGCCCTGTGCAGACACACATTCACACACACACTCACACGCAAACACACACTTACACCCTCACACACTTACACACACACACACACACACACACAGAGAGAGAGAGAGAGAGAGAGAGAGAGAGAGAGAGAGAGAGAGAGAGAGAGAGAGAGAGAGAGAGA